GCTATATAATCACAGGCAGAGTTGCACGAATCCACCCACTCAATCCTGCACTGACGATGCCACCTCGCTTGGTGGTGAAACGTTTGCAATCCAACTGCCAAGCTCGGCGAACAGACCAAAAAACAGGCAGCACCCCCGAGCTACCTATGTTCTATAACATTCCCAGCTAATGTTTGGTTCGAACCATGGACTTTCTGCTCAGAAGTTTTGCGCCTTAACCCCACAGCCATCTGGATCTGTCTGGAATTGTATCATGCAATAACCTCTGCCCAGTTTATAGCTGTTTTGTCGTAAGGCTGTTTATAGCCTTGACTAGGTATCTGAAGTTCGAGTATGTTCGATTAGAGAAGACTCTGCTTGGACGTATTTTCTGTTCAAGTGATCAACGAACTATGGTGCTCAGTTTTCTATGAGGAACCATCAACACCTGGAAAAGAAAAAAGATTGTTTTTACTGTTTGTAGCAAGGGCACAGTGGCCGATAATGATTGCCGCATTGACACTACACAGTGTGTGAAACTCTTATAATACCATTTGTTTCTTATAATCTTCTCTACTTTGTACATTCAAATTTTCACGTTTCACCCAACGCATTTTCTATATGGTTGCCTACGAACGTAGAGAACTTGAAGAAAGTCCATTTACTGTTAAGGCCAAATGCAAAAATGAACACATTTCAGTGCGTCTGACGTCTCCAGTTCTTTTGGTACGGTTTTGCGCAAAGTCTTCGAGATTTCTACCCTCAGTTTTCGCCATATCTGCAACCGTTGTCTTACAATTATTCATGGTATTAGACCAACTGTATCAGTCCTATACCCAACTCACAATCATGTCCCGCACTTTCACTGAAAGGTCCATATTGGTCTGTTTGTGGAATATTCTGCCAGTTGAATAGGCCACTGAGGTCGAAAGTGCTGCGTAGTTTGCACCATCGGGTGCACACAGTCATCACTAATTCTGGCTGAACCAGAATCGTTTATTTCGTTCGACGTTTAATCCAAAAAGCCGATGTACTTCATCCGTGTTGGGAATTATCGGCGGTGAGCATATCATGAAACCTCGAGGAGGTTTGAACTTGCAACCTCTCGCTAAACCGCTCATTCACGAGTGGCCGATCAGCAGTGACTAACTCGCACTCAGGATAAAACGCTTCTCCTTCAGTCACGGATTCCACATCACTGGTCAATTGTTCACCCGTGTTTCGATCGATGGCTTCTCTAATGGAAAGTCCACTCGTCGCGTAAATTTTTCTTCCTTTTGGGGTATGATTGGCTGATTTTTATGTTTGCCGGAGAATCAGGTAACCTTCACAAGTTTTCTCTAGCCATTCCCCTATTCGAGCCTCTCCATAACACAGTTTTCAGCAGTCATCAGTTTTTGATGACTGAACTACTGGAATCCTAAGCCATCACGTGTCAGCCTATCACGTGTGGGCACAGCTGATCACACAAACCTAGCATGATGAAACCACATACCTGATTAGGAACCCTGCTGAAGCTGCAACATATCTTTAATTTTTATTCAGGTCAGTCCTATTGTTTTAACAGAATCAGCGGGATTGCTAACTCAAGGGCCAAACTTTACGTCAAATGACAGTGTTGGCCATAGAGGAGGGGCTTAAACAGGCCTAAATGTAAACCGGATAGGGCTGAAAATAGGGTTGCATGAGCCTGCAAGATAAGTTTATGCGATTTGAGGGGAATTGTTTGTTCACAGTAATCTTCCAAAGAGCAGCAAATTCCCTGGAAAGTTCACGAAAAAATTTGTATCAGCCAAATGTTAGCGTGCGATTTCCTCGGTCGGCGGCCGACTTGAGGCAGAGATCTATCAGCATTTGTCCTCCTAGGTAGTTAGATAACCCCCTTCAGTGTCCCAGCCACACCTGTATATTATCGTATTCGGCAGTCCACGCTATACCTGTACTACTCATGCGCTGAGGGAGTCTAATATTCCTATGTTCACGAACTGTGTTGTCCAAACGGGAATAAAACTTGCTACCAGAATAGACTAGCACAAGCTTTTCAGCGGAAGACATGACCCAATGTCACTTGTCTCAATTCACGAAGACAGAGAAGGACACAAGTCCAATTGAGACATTGAGACAATGTTCAAATACTTGCTCACGTAAGAACTGAATGGCAGCGAGAGTTTTCCGAAGCGTGGTAGTCCACACAAAAATCAATCAATAAACACATCAAAATTGACCCAGTCTATCAGCCGTTACGAGCGGAACTACACAATCACAGGACTCTGAGCCAAGAAACCTAACAACAACCGAAGGACTAATTGGATGAAAGGAAGATAATCACTGAAAACAAGTCACTGAATCAACCCATCAGGGGAACAAATTCAGACCACAAAGCAAGAAGAAAACGGCCGAATCACAACAGAACAACCACACACAGAACTGTCGAATCGAATGTGCCTAACGAACCAACCAAACACAAGAGATTGAGCCCGAGTCAGATTCATAGGAGACCAACCAAACTACGCGAAGACCGCTTCCAGAGCTACCACATACTGTTTAGAAGCTATATAATCACAGGCAGAGTTGCACGAATCCACCCACTCAATCCTGCACTGACGATGCCACCTCGCTTGGTGGTGAAACGTTTGCAATCCAACTGCCAAGCTCGGCGAACAGACCAAAAAACAGGCAGCACCCCCGAGCTACCTATGTTCTATAACATTCCCAGCTAATGTTTGGTTCGAACCATGGACTTTCTGCTCAGAAGTTTTGCGCCTTAACCCCACAGCCATCTGGATCTGTCTGGAATTGTATCATGCAATAACCTCTGCCCAGTTTATAGCTGTTTTGTCGTAAGGCTGTTTATAGCCTTGACTAGGTATCTGAAGTTCGAGTATGTTCGATTAGAGAAGACTCTGCTTGGACGTATTTTCTGTTCAAGTGATCAACGAACTATGGTGCTCAGTTTTCTATGAGGAACCATCAACACCTGGAAAAGAAAAAAGATTGTTTTTACTGTTTGTAGCAAGGGCACAGTGGCCGATAATGATTGCCGCATTGACACTACACAGTGTGTGAAACTCTTATAATACCATTTGTTTCTTATAATCTTCTCTACTTTGTACATTCAAATTTTCACGTTTCACCCAACGCATTTTCTATATGGTTGCCTACGAACGTAGAGAACTTGAAGAAAGTCCATTTACTGTTAAGGCCAAATGCAAAAATGAACACATTTCAGTGCGTCTGACGTCTCCAGTTCTTTTGGTACGGTTTTGCGCAAAGTCTTCGAGATTTCTACCCTCAGTTTTCGCCATATCTGCAACCGTTGTCTTACAATTATTCATGGTATTAGACCAACTGTATCAGTCCTATACCCAACTCACAATCATGTCCCGCACTTTCACTGAAAGGTCCATATTGGTCTGTTTGTGGAATATTCTGCCAGTTGAATAGGCCACTGAGGTCGAAAGTGCTGCGTAGTTTGCACCATCGGGTGCACACAGTCATCACTAATTCTGGCTGAACCAGAATCGTTTATTTCGTTCGACGTTTAATCCAAAAAGCCGATGTACTTCATCCGTGTTGGGAATTATCGGCGGTGAGTATATCATGAAACCTCGAGGAGGTTTGAACTTGCAACCTCTCGCTAAACCGCTCATTCACGAGTGGCCGATCAGCAGTGACTAACTCGCACTCAGGATAAAACGCTTCTCCTTCAGTCACGGATTCCACATCACTGGTCAATTGTTCACCCGTGTTTCGATCGATGGCTTCTCTAATGGAAAGTCCACTCGTCGCGTAAATTTTTCTTCCTTTTGGGGTATGATTGGCTGATTTTTATGTTTGCCGGAGAATCAGGTAACCTTCACAAGTTTTCTCTAGCCATTCCCCTATTCGAGCCTCTCCATAACACAGTTTTCAGCAGTCATCAGTTTTTGATGACTGAACTACTGGAATCCTAAGCCATCACGTGTCAGCCTATCACGTGTGGGCACAGCTGATCACACAAACCTAGCATGATGAAACCACATACCTGATTAGGAACCCTGCTGAAGCTGCAACATATCTTTAATTTTTATTCAGGTCAGTCCTATTGTTTTAACAGAATCAGCGGGATTGCTAACTCAAGGGCCAAACTTTACGTCAAATGACAGTGTTGGCCATAGAGGAGGGGCTTAAACAGGCCTAAATGTAAACCGGATAGGGCTGAAAATAGGGTTGCATGAGCCTGCAAGATAAGTTTATGCGATTTGAGGGGAATTGTTTGTTCACAGTAATCTTCCAAAGAGCAGCAAATTCCCTGGAAAGTTCACGAAAAAATTTGTATCAGCCAAATGTTAGCGTGCGATTTCCTCGGTCGGCGGCCGACTTGAGGCAGAGATCTATCAGCATTTGTACTCCTAGGTAGTTAGATAACCGCCTTCAGTGTACCAGCCACACCTGTATATTATCGTATTCGGCAGTCCACGCTATACCTGTACTACTCATGCGCTGAGGGAGTCTAATATTCCTATGTTCACGAACTCATTTGTGGGCTGGGACACTTATCCTAGAGTAAAGACTGGAAACATTAGTGGTTCTCACATTTAGCCTACCTCCTGCTTGGCCCTCTAATTATGACGTCTCCTCTCCCTCATCTTCTGGACACTTCGTGCCTCTCGATGGAAGCCCGTACGAAGCGAAGTTACCATTCCCCTCCTACAAAATCCCGGCCCCGAACAAACTCACGTTCCGTTTCAACTGAGGCTAAGACTTACCTTGAATGATAACTACACATAGAGCGGTGGACGGGTTTAACCAACGAATGGTCATTAAGAAGTCAGAGGACCCCGAAATTGGGAAATGAAGAATCCGTTTTCAACTTCTAACCGAGCTGTATTCGTTGCGATGAAATCTCTTCGCGATCCTCACGTTTCCAGAAAAGTATCTATTGCACGTTTCAAGTCTGCGTTCACGCATTTCTTTGCGCAAACGAAACATACTTCTTTTTGTAAGTGAACGTCAGCCGGTTTTGATTTCTTCCTCGTTATATGGGAATACGGTTCCACCGTGAGGTTCTTATCGGGAATGCTCTGGACAAAGACCATTTGTTGGTTCTTCCTATGAATCGACGACAACCAGCGGTTATTCTTCCCTTTTGTTCTGACCACTCGTGAGTGGAGTGATTTACATCTGTTTACCATAACACCGTTTTGATCCATTCCCTCCTCCCTCACTCAAGGTTCATCCACCTAGTTACCCTCATTGAGGTTTTACCGAGTGCCTGCCTTCGCATACATATTTGTGTCTACTGTGGCTATAAAGTGGCTCCTGGAGTCGAACCCGGATCCTTCGGATGACAGCCAGGCGCGTTATTCGCTGCAGCTAGTCGGCTTCCCATGCTGCTGAATTTTACTACTACCTTTGTATGGCATCTTACCTGGTCGTGTTTGTTAGGATTTTTGTTTTAAACGGGCCCAGATGCGGGTTTTGATTTGATTTGCCACACTTGCTGTCTTGTTTTGCTGTCAATAAAGACCGGGTGTATTTTATCTTGTGCCAGACTCACCCTGTATCCGTTTTATTCCAGCTAGTGTTTGCTTCCTTTGGATTTGGAGATCCTTTCCGAACACCTGAGCGCCTTTCGTGACGTTCCCTTGTACAAAACCTATTTACATTATCTGATTGCATGTATCCGCACGTTTGTGTATCATTTCGTACTTACTCATTATTACTTTCGGAATGCCCTGCTGTCTCATTGCCCTTTTTCTGCTTCTGCCGATTGTGCTATTGTTGATTATATGTTCTGTTTGTTTAATAATATTTATTAGACCATTTGTTCATAGAAGCACAATCTACTGTCCACATCGGTTTGTTCCTACTGCATATAGTCTAATATCTCCAAGCGTTTTATAAAATCCTAGGCTACCAGGATCTTACAGCCTTCGTAACCAGTTCTACGTGACAAAACAGTGCCGACAGTAGAGGCAGAGCAGGTGGGTGTACTTTGATGCCAGCACAAGCTCATTAACATGGACGGACTTGGCCATTTGTTTACACACTCAAAAGCTACGACCATAGGTCTAGTGCATTTGGTTGCATTAGGCTTTCATGGTGGTGTTCGCATGACATTCCCAATGCGTTGACAAGTGAAACTCTGCATATAGCTCCTATGTGATGTGGAACATCTCTATCGTTTCTTACTGTCCCACAAAATCAACTTAGAAATTTCCATCCTTCCGGTTATATGGCAATATTGTCATCTTAAACAACGCTGCATTAGACTTCAGACGGTTTCGAATTCTTTAGAGCTCCAACACGGTGGCGACACGCTTTATGGTCAGTCCATCGCGACCTTCCTGACGGTTTACCTTATCACATTTTACGAGCGCAATATTCACCGCTCATTCAGTTGGAGAAGAGCGTAGTCAAGCGAATCAATTAGGATTCAGGTGACTCCCGTTAAACCAAATTTTTGCGCAATTGAATGTATTTCACGGGTTTTGTAGAATTTGAATTCAAGTAGAATATAAAACTGACGGAAACTCGGGACTGCGTCCACCTGATGGACCAGAAATGGGAGGGCGATACCGGCCAAGGAGTCTTCAGAAAACTTGTTTGTAGTTTCCTTTAAGAAAGAAACTAGCTATTCAGATTTTGGTGTTGCTGGTACTAGTGATGAAGTTTAACGCACGATTCGCGAAGCTGAAGCGGTAGTTTACAGGTGTGAAAACAAACATTGCTTTTCCATGAAAATTTCCACTCTTATAATGTTCTTCTAATCCAGTGAACAAATATATAAACCGTTAGCGAAATGCACATTTGCAAAATACATTGGTGTTAACGACAGACTTGACTGAGTTTCTTGCTGTTGATTTTCAAAACGTTTTCAGCAGCCTTATAAGTAGTGTTTTCTCGAGTAAATGTGATTTCCAAATGAAAATGAGAGTGATCTCAGTAACTGACAACTAATACTTGGGATGCTTCCAACGACACACTGGACCAGAATTCTGCTACTGGGTTTATACAAGATGTCATTACATATCGTGGACTACAGGTGTGCGAAAGACCACAGATGGACGTAAGCGCGTCGACTTACTAAAAATGATATAAATATCATACTAGAATGTCCTTCGTGAATAGAAAATCTCCCTCGTTCGCTTTTTTGCTCTGGTTAAGCGTAGATACTTCAAGTACAGTATAGTTTGAACATAGCGGATTTTCTTAGGTGTTGCCAGGAGCAGGAGTACACAAAAATCGTACGCTGGAATCACACCCTATAAGCTTTTTTCACCGAACCTGATCCAGATGTTCTTTCAGGTGTATAATTCTTTCAGTGTACATCTGCCATACCACCCGAAAGAAGCACAATGGCTGAGATACTACCAGGTTTCCCGAGCCTAGACAGGAGCAGTCCAGAAGCTGGACGTGGAGTCTAACCGCAAATCTTCCGGTCAGTAAGTTTACGTCTTAACCACTGAAATATCTGGAGACAAGCTTCCAGATATTGATACTAATTTTCAGGGAACCATGAAATGAACAAGTGAAAATAGCCTCACATTCTCTGGTTGCATGCTGACCAGCAGGTCAATTTAATTGCTTCGCATGGTGAAGGGAATAAGCAGAAGTAGACCCCCGACGAACTTCCATTCTTGTTGTTGCTTCCCATAGCCCCAAGATGGTCGCCGGTAGGTTCCTTGGAATTCAAGCGAAGTCCTTCACTGCGACTCATTGGAGTGATCTTAGAGAAACTGCTTCAGTGTAGTCCCGGTGAGGGAATCCATTTAAATGCTTGCTCGTCGTGGGGGTGTTTACATAAATGTGAAGTGTGTTGGAAGGAGAGTGTCTGACGAATCTTGTTAACTCAAAACTTCGCAGAAGGCAGTTTATCACTAGAAAACCGGAAAAAGTTTGCCTTCTCTACAAATTTATTGTTTTTACCCGGTAAGCTGCACGTTGGAAGCTTGTAAATTGTACTTTGGACTAGGAGACAAGTATTTAAGGGGAACCCGACTATGTTTCTGCGTTCATATTGGTTAATAATCAGTTTTCAAACATGCCTGTAGCTTTTTAAATTTGGCTGCATATGGTTTGTATCCGGCCTGTTGGTTTGTTTCAATTCATCCGCGTTACTTCCAATCCTCGTCACCCGAGCTTGTTGCTTAGTTAACCCATCCGTCACTTCCATTTAACCCTATTTTTCGGGGTTCTATAATCAGCTGTTCTCTTGGAAAAATGGTTTTCTTCTCGTGGGTGGCTTTGAAAATTGAATTTGTACACTTACCTGCTACAATATCTGTTCCTAAAGCGCATGGGTTTTGCTGGCGTGAGGTGGATTACAAAAGGCGAACCGCGCTTCGCACTGTAATCTCCTCACCGTTCTGGCTACTTAAGCATATATCAGTAGCAAAAGCGTTTTCTATTTTAATTAGTATATCTTCTGAGGTCAGGTGAAATGCTGGGTTTATTCTGACGTATTTGTTTTCGGGGGCACAGTTTTGATGAGATTAGCTGCAGACAACTGTGACTACTCGTAGAACTTAGCTGTTTCTCTAACATCTTCAGTGCGTGGTGATGATGTCTTCTCGACTGGGGATGAAACGTTTGCAAGTTGATTGCCAAGCCTGGCGAACAGATCAACGACCACCAGTACAAACACCCGGCCTACCAAAATTTCGACACACGCACTGGGGATGATTTGCAAGTTGATTGCCAAGCCTGGCGAACAGATCAACGACCACCAGTACACACACCCGGCCTACCAAAATTTCGACACACGCACAAGCGTCCTTAAATTTTAGTCATTAAACAGTCACACATGGTTATGATACGAATGTTGGACTTGCTCACGAGCGACCTGTTTTGAAAGAATGGAAACGTTTTGAGTAAACCCACCAGAACCTATCACCACGGAAGTCAAACGAGTTTCAGATAAAACAGTGGGTCATGGTATTCCTCATGCGACTTGCAGGGCAAGCCTACAAGATTATCCAAGATAATATTCACAATTCGCGTTTACATCACTCACTTTTGAACGATCCACCTGTCCTGGTGCAATTATTCCGGCATCGAGGGGGGGGGAAGATTTGGACCCGATTCTCGCTCTTGTTATAGCTCACCAGCTGCACATGTTCGGGGTTGAACTTAGGACATCTAGCATGCTAGGTGAGCGCGTTGCTACTACTCCATCAGCGAACGCTGGAGGCACCTGAATTGTCACGTCTGAACAGGCGATTTTGTTCATGTTAGAGCCAAGTGCTCTCCGCTTTGGTATGGACTTGCCAGAATAACTGTGTCTGCTGAGGATGAGGGTTGTTCAGAATTGAGCGGTTTGAACACGAATTCTACAGATCATGTCATTCAGGTTAAAAAGTGTTTTTTGTACATACTGCATTTCATAACCCAAAGTATGGCCTTGGCTACTCAGCCAGGGTCAAAGCAAGGACTACTATTCAGAATGCAGTTGGTTTGGACGTCAGTAAAGTAATCACTCTCACTGACCCAATGCGATGATACGATTTGGGATAAGTTCATCTTATAGTTGCACGAATCACTCAACTCTTGAAATTGATACTACGTGACGTCTGTGTACTCAAAGTTATCCTTATCGTCAGCATCGTATTTTTGTGTGCGGAAAATCACACTTCATGCGCACATCTTGTGGCCGATGTCTCGGACCATGAGAACTTTGGAAGCAGCCTCACACATCAGGACATGAAAATGCCCAGAAAAAATGACACCTTCATTGGGGAAAATCTTGTTGACAGAAGATAATGATGAAATGAATGTGCCTTTAGTCCTACAAAAATTTAATTCTGAAATGTAGGCAGACCCAAGTATATTTCTCACAGCCAGTCTGCTCCTGGCCATTATCCAAACTTCGTAGGAATCCCGAAGTAACTCGAAATTTCAGCGTGGATAGACGGTCGGATATAACCTACTACAAAACTTGACCGTTTGTTGCCTGAATGCGAATCAAACGCAAAATTCCTGAAATTCATTCAGCAAGACAACTAATGAAAAAGCAGCTAGATTCTTTATGTCACAGGTTCTACATGGTAAATCAGGAGGAGACCACTCAATGCATATTTCGCCTGATTACATGGTGTCTATGTCATCATCATCACCATCACGGAAAGCACAATATCAATATTCAGCAGATGTTTCGGTGCAGTAAGATGCCTGAGGCTGTCAGCACCCGCAAGAATAGAGTTATTAACTGGGTTGGCGGAGGGGAAGCAAGCGCATTTGAAAGGGGAAGAACAGAGGGGTCAGTAATAGTCTGTTTTCGCGTGTGCACCTTGCTGTATGCAGCATGTAAGGTAACCCGGTTGATGGCACCACACAAGGGCCGATGTGGCATAGCCGTATTGATGGTTGTAAAAATCATTGTTCCACGTAAGCTGAGATACTGTCAGGGCTGTCGAACCTAGACAAGAGGACAACTGGGGTCCTCGATTAAAGCCTTTAGCTCAAAAGCCTAACCACAATGTAGTGGTATGAGAGACTGTGTCGCGCAGACGCCACTCCGTATGGCTAAATCGGTCACGGAGGCACACAAACTGTCACACCATGGCAAGGCCGAGTCTCTCTGTGGCGGAATGATGATGTGCTTCGTCCATGTGGGAAATGCCACACAAGAAAAACACTGAGGTATTCGTTTCCCTCAAATGGAAATGGCTTCTAAGGAGATGTGGATTTTGATCGTCCATGAGAGTGCACTCTCTTTGGGGGAAGTACTATCAGTCTAAAATTTTATCCACCATCACTCACACATCAGAACGACTTTAATCAATCAATGGATAAGTCGAACAACTTATCTTTCTTGGTTCTCAGTTATAAATTCAACTGTACATATATTATATCGTTCGTACATCTAATTGTTCTTAACAACAGGTTCCAGTGGGTACAGTACAAAAGGTTCACTAAACAAAAAAAAATGAAAATTGGAATATTGACAGTGATTTGTCAGAAGAAGCTCAGAGTTAAGCTGTAATTTGGGTGGCATGTCTGTCTGAATAAACTCAAACAAGAAAATGTTTCTACTGAGCTTTCGGCATATCTCGAACGATCTTCGAAAATTACCTATATTGGACAGCTGAAGTTTGTCTTTATTCTCCCCGGGTCTACAAGTTATTCACGCATCTAAGCGGCTGGACTGTAGTCGATGAACTTGTTATCTCGACTGTTAGAATGCGAGCTGCAAACTTTTGTCTTTTTGAGAAATAAAGAAGTACATCCTATTCGAGTTTTTTGGTAACCTCTAGCTTCATTATCTGTTATTGGTGTTGCTGACCAAGCATAACTTCCCCGTAGATTTCAAACTTGTAGAGGAAAGTACCTTGCTGGTTCCACTTCTGTGTTCTNTATGACGATCCTGGAAGATCAATATCCCTGCGTGGATAACTACCAGTGTGTAAAAAAAACACTTCCTTAGTGTTGTATATGGCCGAGTCACTCAAGTAACAAAAAACGTCTACGTGGCTTAAAAGTAAGTTTTTTTTTGGGAAATTTGTGCTCGTTCTCTTTCTACATCGATGGCTACGGACCTCGTGGTTCCCAAACTCCATATAGGAGTTGGTAGAAACCCCACCGTCGAAGTACTACATGAGTAACAGCATTTCAAAGGGCTTGCATGAAAACCCATCTGCTGAATTTACTTTATTCTGGTCTTGGCAAACTGTATGCCTTGTGCATTCCATCATTTTGTTCCCATTCTGACGACAGAACACGTGATGCGCCATTCGTCTACCAATCACGGAACAGCTGCTTTTGGCTTGCATGAAAACATCGAATGTCATCCAAAGCAAAGCTGCCTGTGTTGCTTCTAGTCCATTAATTATCAACCGACATGGTGCAGCGCACCTGATTTGGCCTAAACGACTGTGTTCGGTGCACCTGTTTTACGGCTGTGCGTCAAGGTAAACCGCCTTACTTCACGGACCAACCAGAATTATGGTTGCATTTTAGTCAGCTGATTGGCCGAACGATGGACGTGGGCGAACAGTTTTCCGCAGCGTGGCAGTTCCCCGTTACAGGCATGAGTTGCCAACTTTATTCCTGATTCATGAATGTGTTGAAGAGTTATTACATTTTTGGGGGATTACTTTGAATATGTTCGGTTTCACATATCTACACCCATTTGTTTGCTTAACGCTGCTGTATTATGTCAATCAAGTGCAGACAACAGACTCGTTACTTCGTGTCGAAGTTATCGAAGAAAGTCCCCTGGGCACACTGATCGGTGGAGTAGCAGAATACCTGTCACAAATCAAGGCAGATGAGCTGAAAACTGGCGAGTACACAGATGTGCGTTATCAGTTGCTCGGTGACGAAACGATTTCCAGACTTCTTCAACTGCATCCCATTCTGGGTCAGCTCCGAGTAGCGTCACGTATTGATAGAGAGACAATTTGTCCCTTACGGAATCAGAATTCCCCCGGATCCATGTTTATACCTGACAAACGCTTTCCGCTGAGCGTCGGTGAGCGTTATGTTGTAAAAACGTCTACCTATGTGAATGATCTGTCGGCTTCTGTGAGAGGAGAGTGCGTACAGCAACTAAATATCCTTGTGATTACACAGAGGAAGGCGACGGAAAAACCCTCGATGGAATTCGCTGCGCACACGACAAGAGTACAACTCCATCTAATCATTCGGGATATCAATGACAACGTGCCAAACTGGCCACAGTACACCTCGCTACAAGTGAGTTTTGTGGAAACGCCGAGCACAAACGTGGGTTGGCCACCGCTGAACAGACAGGGGCAGTCAATGGGTTCTTTGGAAGAGACTGCTTCGAAGCATGCGAAAACCATCGATCGAGCGTTTGACCCTGATATGGGCTTAAACGGTTCTCTAACGTATCGTTTAGTAGGCCCTGGCGCTGAGTATTTTCGTTTGGATGACGGTTCTGACAAAGTTAATGACGAGATGCTTACGAATAAATTTGGCTACTCTTACGGTCACAGTTCGCTGTTGGAACCGACCAGCGCTCAATTGTCCACCCAATCAAGTTTGACACCAATAAGGATATGGCCTATTGTTCCACTTGACAGAGAAACAGACGACTTTGCCGGCCGCGGAGGCTTGTTCAATTTGACGCTGTTAGCTAACGACCTGGGTGTCCCTCCCAAAACCGGGAGCATCTCTTTACTAGTCAATGTTGTCGACGTAAACGATCACTCCCCGGTGTTCCACAGTGATGTTTACGGTCCCGGAGGCGGCACGATGCGTTTAGATGGAGCAGCATCATCAAAGCAATTGGTTGTCTACCGACCGCCTAGCGGAAGTGTGAGTGAAACTCTCCCTGTGGGTGGCTTTATCACACAGTTGAACGCAACCGATAAAGACAGTGGTCCACACGCAGAGATAACTTATGAATTTTGCCCGTGCGATCGCAATGTGGCCTGGAATTATTTCAACATTGACCCCAAATCTGGACGTATCGTTGTTGCAAAACGTTTGGATTTTGACACGGGACCAAGACAATTTCAGTTTAAAGTAAGTTTTTTTGCGTAAAATCGACTAAAGAACTCCAGCTGATGTTTGAGTCGGAAGTTAACTAGGAAACATCAGCACCGCCCCCATACCGAAAACAAATGACCGTAACCCAGTAACTGCCATCCTCAAAATAATTATTCAGTCTTGGTTTATTTTCCCCCACACTGACCAAGAACAAGAATAAACTCGTCCTCAGCATGCGCCATAATATTTAAAAGCTTCCTAATTCAATTGATTGACCACATTCATTAATGAATTGCGAACCCGACCGGTTTAAAATTATCTCATATTGGAGAGTCTAGCAGGCACTTCATAAGCACTAAACTGTTCAATATTATCAACTGGTATTTCGTCTCGTAAGTGAAGGTAGTCTTTGCTGAAAAGCATTGTACAACTGTCCCATTCTTATTGGGGATTATCAGCGGTGTGCACTTCACGAAACTTCAATAAAGAAACTCGAGGCGGCGCCCTCCAGGAGACTAGTTTGAACACTTAACCGTTAGTCCACGAGCAGCTGATCACCAATGTTGTTAACTTGTATTCATTAATTAATCATGGGTTACTCGCGGAATGCACATCACCTACTCAGGTGCTGGCTGGATCCTGTTTTTCAAACCTGTATATCAAAACAAAGTTTCACTCATTTTTGTGAAAGTAATTTTCTTGTGAGCTAAGGAAGCGAATCCAATGCCACATCATAATGATTTGATAAACTAGAGACTCAGTTGGATTCAGTTGAGGCTCCCATCGAAAACAAATTTGCGTGCAGATGGAAATATTTGTCGAAATCCCTCAAATTTGGGGGTTTAAGTACAATAGCAAGTTGAAGAATACTCAGGGACTGAGGCCACCTGATGTGCCCCGAGAAGGGCAAAACCGGTCATGAGCTGTCGAAGAGTTTGCAGAAGCAGTGCTACATCTAAAAAATTATCCACGTAGTTCGAATTAGGTCGAACGATCAACTATACTTTTCAAAAAAGCGATGCAGCAGGTATCACTCGCGGTGATCTCGAGAATGTTACACGTCACTGACAGAAATGGAGAACTGACGGATGAACTTCACTTACATTCTCAATTATTGCAAAATTCCACTAGATTCGAGGATGTGTGGTAACCTGGTGTCTGAATTAGAACGACCAGCCCGACAAAGAAACACTTTCGGCAACTATTTATCCTTTGATGGATCACAGGAGGTCTTTTTAATTGCCCTGACATTTCAAGAACGAAACTGCCTAGCTTTTACGCAAATGGCTAGTATGAATGACATTTCACAGATAGTCCGTAACTTGCCTCAACATTTAGCTACTGTGTTACGCTACAGACAGGGCTTAAATCAGACCAGCCAGAAAAATTAGGATTAGAAGGTTTTCTGTTCACTGCATTCCACCATCTGAGTTGGTGTCAATATCTCAGATGAGTGCACTCTTCGATCAGCTATGTTAACCACAAGTTCAGGCACTTTTCGGGGCTAACAGCAAAAAAGATAATGGTTTTACACATTTGTAATTTTGAGATCTCTTACTGATGAAGCACGCTTTATAGATGTTTGATGGTGATGGACAGATCTATCTTTTTGTTCCGGATAATGTAAATATCTGGCTCATTTCCCTCCGTGCACATTGCTTGCGTAGTCGCAGTTAAGAACAGGGCGTCATCGATTGGTGAGCGCAGAGATGCTTGTTGTCTGGAAGCAAAATACTACTCAAAAGGTTGTCAGAAACTCTTCGAAAACCTGTGACCGGGACCATCTGAACGACAGATTCAGCTGGATTCAGTTGGATTACTGTCCAAGCCGAATTTGTGTGCAACTGAGAGTATTTGTAGAAAAGTTTGTGCTTCTCAATCTGGATCCTAGTCTAAATTTTGTAAACTGTTTGTTACCAGTCAAGATTGATACAAAGTTTTCTAATTCATGACTCACCCTGTGGTAAACACATCGCAACGTTTGCTGCATAGATTTTCGACGCCGCTGTTACTACTAGAGTGTAATGAAGGCCGCAGGTATTCGTAGAGTATTCTGTAAGTTGATTCGAAGTAACTGTTTCAAGGGTTAAAATCCTATGTAACTGGACTGCTCTCGAATTCAACCGAGTCGGCTTGTGCAAACCGATTCCGTCGTCTCCGTTCATCCCCACCCTTGTGTGTTTGAAAATATGTTGATCAGACACACTCGATGGGATTCTACCCAGCCCTGCACCAAGCGATTGTGGACTATCTGACAGGCGAGCAGCAAAGCTTCTATCTGAGAACGTGTCGTAGTGCAAAGCTCATGCTTCATTATTTGCCTGCATCATTATGTGATACCCAACATTAGAGGGGCCGGTCAGAATCGCTCTGTCATCCGGGGACGTGGGCGCACTTAGTCTTCTACAAAAGTCATTCGCCTATCTAGGATTTTTCGTTTCGTTGTTCAAACATCTTTATTTAATCTATCTGGTTCTTGTTGCCCCACCTAGTCACAGTTTGTAGAAAGGAAATCAGTGTGAGTCACAGTGGTTGCTTCGGCAACGACTGAGTTCTGGCCTAGCTGTCATAATTAATCTTACTGGAGATATTTTCAGGCCCATAATTGTCAGCTACTAGCCTAACCGGTTGATTTACTATGAAGTTTACGTGTTGGTATGCAACGTACCATCAAAGACAACAGTTTTTATGCTCAACAACACACACACAAAATACGTACAATATTCAAGTCGGATTTTCAGTGAATTTATCATCAACTTTGATTTGCTACGCATGGAACTTCCGAGGGATCACAGAACGTACTGGGAGGGTACGAGACAATGTGGTGGTCATTGTGACAACCGAAATGCATCCGTCCTTCTTAATGCTCACGGAGATCGTAAGCGATACCCTTTGATCATAAGTGATCTGTTTCTGATGAAGATGGCCCACAGTGGCTTGTGTTTATTATACGAACAGCGTTAAAGTCCCAATCCGAAGGATGGTACACTAGTCCTCTCCATCTTGGCGAGTGTGGCAATAATTTATGCCTACATAGGTGTTGATATAAGCTCCGGACCCACTGTCACGAAAACCAAATCTTTCTATAGCTTCTCTAAACTGCTTCCACGGGCCAATTTCTCCAAATTAACTACAGCCGTTGCTTGCAGCGCTTTCCATAAAATTTACTTATCTGATGCGGTTTTGGCAAAAGTGTCACTCGCAACCATTGTGTTCTGGTCTCTGTTTAGCAGAACTGGGTAAATTGCTGAACAAGTGAGGAAGAGTGTATGCGACACTTTAAGGGGGAATTTATTGAAGGCTGCAACTAATCAGATACAAGTATTGCAGACAAAAAACAGCGTCCTCAATTCGTATTTCATGTCAGGCATGTCCAGGCTCGAGGCCAGAACACGAAGAAGGCCTATTAGTTTACTAGAATGTACAGCTGTCACGCCGTAGAGTCATTGGGTCATATGCTACGAAACCGCGATCGGAAAGAGGTGACGTTCAGCGAACATACCTGAACATACATCACTGATCATAGGAGTCACTTTTGGTTTGTTATTTGTCTGTTCATCTAACGTGACAATCGGGCGAATTGACCGCCAACCAAGCGGTGCACTCAAACAAGCTATTGCAGAAACTTCACTGGGCTGTGGGGTAGGGCCAAATATGTCTTTGCATGAAAATTTCTGCACCTGAATAGTCTCATGAAATTCTATCGTTTTTATGGTCTTTCTTTGACAACGGTCTATAGACTGTCCAGACTACTATTCAGCAACACAAGGCAAACGCCTGTGACACTTGAGATACTTTCGTTGCTTCACTTAGTACTGTATACCTAGGAAACGTTCAAGCCGATAAGCCTGACCTTAGTCCGTGAACGGAAGAGATGACCTCACATAGCCTATCCAGGCTGGAGGAACAGGTAGCAAGCACGTCCACTCCATCGGATGTAAATATCTGTACAATTAAAAACAACAGACACGACATGACTTTTTAGCGTCGGAACAGTTTCTTAGTCCGAATCCTGGCAAAATTAATATATCACAGGACTGGAAGGTAATTCCACGACAGAGGTAGGAAAACAGGAATATAGCAACAGATATGACTAATAGAGGGCTTTTTTTGTCAAGTTACAGTCAGTTCAGTTAGCAACACTTATCACTTTATTTCAACAGGGAATGATAGCAGTCACTTTTCAGTGTGCCTGGTTGGAGTCAAAGATTCTTAGGCTTTGTCTGGTCCTGGAAATTCTTATGAAAAAAGACAAGGCAGCTTCCTAATAAAAAAGAGACGTCATCCAAGATGAAAAGCTTCCCTCCTACGATCTAAAACGAAAATTTTCTGAGTCTAGATTTCGAATACGATATGAACTTTAATGTTTTTTCCGGCCTTGTAGATTTCCCTAGAAACAAATCTCTTATCCGCCCCTCACCCAGAAATTTCCAAAGCAACAGTATATTTTCGGGGATCTTAAGCATCTTAATTTCCCCATCAACCGCTCAGTTTGTCATGGTGGTTGGTATTTTCTGGAACTCCAGATTCTCCTTAGACGAACTTGAAGACGGCATCCCTAGTTCACGTCTCGTTCAGGATTAGCATGATTGCTTACTTCAGTCGGCCCTCTAGAGGAATTTTACTCATTCATCCTTATGGTCTTTTCATAGCCTCGTGTCTTCAGCTTTCTCAAACCACGCGCGTCTGCCCTGCTCTGCTCCCCTTAGTTTTCCGGAGAGAGAATAGTTCAGGAAAGCCATGATCAAAATTTGAGTAATTTTTTCGCAGAGTCCGACCAAACTATGCTAATTGTACTCAGTCACCTACTAATGACCATTTCTCATATTCTGGGTTCTTCCGGGTCCTCCAAACTCGCTCCGTTTCTGTCCATCTAATCAACTAAATTTTGTCATGAACACAATGAATATTAGCTGTCCGTGCAGTAGTTGGGTTGAAGCGTTTTCCGTCCGATTTCTGGAAAGTACGACCAGACAACAATCACAGCAGAAATGAAATGTGACATCAAAACAACTTTCTTAAACCTGGTCCCAAGATGGCCATTTCTTGACGGAACATGCTACTCAAAAAGTTGCTGATAACCCTTTAGTAGGGTAATCGC